ACACACACACACACACACACACACACACACACACACACACACACACAAGTTCTCCTTTGAGTCTCAGGTCATCGCAGGGTTAATGGGATGCCTGCTTCGCCCAAACTCCTTCCACCATTGTTGGGTTTTCTCATTTCTCCTCTCTCTCACACACACACACACACACGCAGGCACAAAATAAAAACGTTTTTTCTACAGTACACAGGTCAGATGCAAGCGTTTCACAAGTGTTCAGCACTTCCCTTCATCACTGATGAGGATGTAACGGTCTCCTCACACCTGGACCAGTCACGCCGTTGGTTCACTCTATTCTCTCTAACCAGCGGCTTCAAATCGTCAAAGTGTTTCGTTCCCCTCTCTATTTCTGGTGCCGCACTTCCTGTCTGCCTGCACTAAATTTACTCTGCTTCCGTCACCCCTCTGCTCCAAGATGAACAGCACAACCATGAGCTGAGTAGAGGGATACGCTTATGACAGAGGAAACGCAGGTAGAATTAAACACATGAAGAGGAGAGAGACATACGATGTGAAATATTCACATAAGAAAAAAAAAAACCCTGAAGCATGAAACATAATTAGCACTTTGATCCTCTCTTCTGCTGATGAATTGCCAAAGAAGGACGTGGAATTTAAATATAGCACAATTACTGCTTGGTAATGGAATTTTGCAATAGAGCAAAGGTGGAAATTCTCACATTTACACATAATTTATTGCTTTTGTGTAAATTGGCATCCCATCTGGGAGAAATAAAGTACGTATCTATTTAGAATTTCATTGAAACTGAGAATGAATGTTTTCATTCATTTCTCCCAGAGGGCAAGTCAGTTAGCAAACTGCTAATATCAGTAGCTCTGAGTCGGTTATGAGCCTTTGGTAGCTGAAACATTAAACAGTATAAATGTTACTCCGTTCTCACGATAACATTTGTGCAACTGTGTGTGTAGCTGTGAGTGTTTGCTCGTGTCTGTCTGTTACACTAATCTGTGCTGTCAGAGGGCCTCGTATGCGACTCGGTCTCCGTCCGCGCAGCAACTCGTACACCACCCTGCAGACATCACAACATCAAAGCTATTGTGCTGCTCCACTTTCTGGGGCCTCCGCGCTCAAGGCAGCGGTGCGCTAAACAACAAAGAAGGATGTGCCCGAAATAGAAGCTGCATGCAAATTTGTGTACACACGCGCATTTCAGATTAATACTGTTCGTCTACACTCCATTTTGGGTGAATGAATGACTGCAAATGGTAACCAATCATAGACGGTGACAAAAACCTTCAACCAATGTTCGAAAAGATTTCGTGTGAAAAGTTGCCGATGGATGTTGGCGCGAGGGACGT